TGCACACCTGAAGCTTGGACTGTTACATACCGTCTTTGACGAAAAAGTNAACATTTATAAGAAAACTGCTCCGATAGATGCATTCAACATACCTGCACACCTGAAGCTTGGACTGTTCCATACCGTCTTTGACGAAAAAGTAGCGATTTTTAAGGTATAAATGATTTTCCTGAAGCCAAATTGATGAGGGTTTGAGTTTTCCTTTTAGTATGATTGGAAGTAACCTTTTAAGGAAGATAACTTCCATGATTTTTGATACTCTGCTAAGCTAATTGGTCGATAGGATTCTACTTTATTAGCACTTTTTCCGGGTTGGAGAATACCGTAGTTAGACATCATTAAGCAGGTCAATCAGAAAAGTGAGACCCTCTTTTCGTAATTGCTTTAGCAATTGGCTTGTAATGGACACATTTTTCAGGCTTAACTTATAAATTGCTGCTTTTACTTCTGCTTAAGTAAAATTGTTTATGGGTGGGTCCATTTGATGAGTATAATACAGGGCGACGATGACTTTATTTATTTTCTCGCGTGGGGGTTCAAAGTTATGCGGTGTGAATACCGTTTGTAGATATCTCGCAAATGTGTTAGATTTTTCTAAATCAACTGTTGCCTACTCATTGTTTTCCTTTATAGTGCAGATTCTGTGAGGGAGGGTGCCTTGAATTTACTTGCAGCATTCCAGCGCGAATATTCGGTAGTTGCAGATGCATCAATTCTGCTCCATTCCTTTCATTATTTAGAGTCTCTTTTAATTTTTTGTGTGTGCTTTTTTAATCGTTTTCTATTTTCAGGGGTATCTATTTAGTTTGTTACCACCTTTTCTTTGCAAGTCGTTTTTCTCTTATTTTTTCATTTATTTTTTGTTGAGGGAAAGCGTTGAATTCCAGTGGGCTTGCTGGTACGGCTTTCTTGGGTAGAGTTAAGAGATAAATTAAAATTACGGTTGGAAGAAACCATTGATCGGAAGAAATTCCAGTCCGTTTTCCGATTATGTAGAATACGTTGTGTGGGTTCGGCGGAAAAACTGCTATTGGGTACGAATAAAACACGGGCGTTATAACAAGATAAGTCAAAACAAGAGCTAGACATTACTTCCGAGAGTACAATGCCTTTAGCCACGCAGAGATCAATTAAGTCGGGTATTTTGTTTGTATCCTTTTACCTGTATGCTTTTCTGGACGGCAGCGGAAACAAATTCATATATATGAAAGCAGCGTAGAGTTGTCATCGCTTTTAGATAGTGTAGTTAAGGACTTAATTGATTAAATAGTCCTCATAAAACTATAAAAAAAAATCTATATATAGATACATATTAATAGGCTAATGGTNGATAGTGTAGTTAAGGACTTAATTGATTAAATAGTCCTCATAAAACTATATACAAAAATCTATATATAGATACATATTAATAGGCTAATGGTTTTTGCCTATTCGGGTTGGTATAATTTTGAGGAACGTTTTCGATATGTACGTAATACGTATGAATTTAAATATATTTATCTATAAAGTAAAATGCCTCTAAGAGGTTAGTTTTTACTTACCTCTATATATCCAATGAGATTGCATGCTTTGCTGAAAGTGGAATTCAAACACAAATTCCTATTCTATTTTTTTTACTTTGGCTATATGAGACACTTTTTCTAATTAAAAACACTTATATATTATTCACTTGTTTCTATTTTGTTTTTATTATTGCAAATTTTACTTGATTTTCGCACACTCACTAACAGTTTTATGTGCACATGTGTGTCATGTACCAAAGTATGAGAGAACACCAAATTTCGGGAAGTTACTGCAGTTGCGCGCTATCGATGACGCTGCTATTGTTGTTGGAAATAATGCATTAATCCTTTTGCTGTGAAAGCGCAAAGTCGATTATTAATGGCGACTTCGTATGTACAGTGGGAGTTGTTGACTTAAATACTGGTGCATTCAGAAAATTTTGCGAATCGGTTTTTTATATTTGTATTTTGAGCCATGTTTTATAAGATTTTTCAGTTAATATTTATTGCGATAGTAATATTTTTTTTCCGTAAAATATTGCTAACATTTAACGACTAGATTTGATTTCAAATAATTGCAACAACGTGCACAGATTTGTTAATTATGTGTATATTAAAGATACAATGTTAAATATGGGATTTGGCATTAAGTTTTCACTTTGGGCTTCCTTTTTTTCTGCAGCTTTGTAGCGCTTATATTGGTTTGAAATATTAGAACTTGTTATTGGCACGTTTTAAAAGTATTTTTGCTTCTAATTTAAATAATTTGATTTTGATTTTAAATAAATAGTGTTATGAGGGAAGGTAATCCTATTATTGCACCGTCATGAGATATTTAGACAACTTATCCTCGGCCTCCACTGCACTTCGGTTATGTGTTTGTTGGTATTCGATTATGTAGTTGTAATGGTATGTTCATATAATCTGGCACGTACTGTTTAATTTGCAATACCTAATCACTTTCGCTTTATGAGTAATTATTATGGATTTAAGAGCGCAATTTTATACTTTTTTCCGCCAGCATTCACACACCCACTTGATCGTCTGATGATCCCTATTACATAAGTATTATACGTTCTGTGACGCCCTGCAACATGCCGGCGATCTGAGGGAGTTCATTAAGCTTTACCCGTTTGCTATACTTTATTATTCATAGTCGAAATCAAATTCCTTGAACGCTTTTATGTTTATTGCCGTAAGAAAGTGCCCAAACACCGTCGCACGTATCACCGAGCCACCCGATCCGACTCTCCGAGCGTAATATGCCGCTTCGAATGCGTTGAAAGTGAATTTCGCTCTGTTATGCCTCTTGAATACACTTCACCGTTGAATTTTTTTACGATTATTGTTACGATTATTTTTATTATAACTGCCACACAGACTGTCACTTCATTTGCTTAGGCAGGTTCGATGTTAGACTGCTTGTGCAATTACGTGCGAATGTCTGCGTCCTCTGGTCTTCGTGCCCAATTGGATTGCTAACTTTGAACCTTTTTGGCTCGCTAGGAGACGCAACTAGAATGCAACTTAGAAGTTAGGTAGCAGCTGTTAGCCGTCCCAGTACAGTCAGTAGCGACAATGACAGTTTTTGTCAAATTGCCACACAGTGTGTCTGCTACCCAGCCACTCTGCGTCTCTTTGCAGCAGCTGCTTATTTTTCAGAGCCTTTTTCGAGTTTTGGCAAATCGATGGCCTTCAAAGTGAATGATTTTGCAGCGTAGGCTATTGCATCTACTGACTATATGCGAACGTGCGTGTGCTGCAAATTAGACCATTTGAAGTTGAGTCGTTCAATGGTTCACACGATAAGTTGTCGCTTCCGAAAATTTTTTGTTTTAATATTTATTGCAGACGGTTATTATTATATTTAGGGTAATTTCTCTATGTGTATTGTTGATAATGCTGATGTTGATTTCTTTACGACTTCTATCAAACTAAACCCATAAAGCATTCAATTCAAGGCATATACTTCACATATCTACGAGCGCGGCGGCTACATGTGAAATTCCGTCTATCCGTGCACACGGCTGCGCGAGCAAGCAAAATCGAGCAAACAATCAGCTGCAGCAGTAGCAGTAGCAGCAGCAGCAGCGAAGCAAGCGAGCGTTGCGGCCCCAGCGTTGCCTACAGCCATGACAATAAAATGAATGAGCAGGGAGAGGTACACACAACAACGACAAAGTGATGTTATCACCAACAGAGGCAGTTAACGCATGCAACAAAAACAAGAAGTCAATTGAAGCCACAACAGACACGCTGTCGTTTGCGAGCACTGCCGTATACAACAAAGTGCCGGGACCCCTTGCACCCTTTCCTCCTTGCTATAGGTATAAGCAAGAAAAAATGCAGAACGCCAGAAACAAAGTGTGTTTATGCATGGAGAGAAATAAAGTACAAAAATAAAATCTCAAATCGTCAAATCGCGCTCAGCAGCGCCGGCAACTATGACGGAGGTGGGAACGGCGAAGTCCGCAGCGGCAGCACATGAGAAATATTCTTATAAGAAAGCTAGCCACAGAAGCGCCACCAATATAAAATTCTGGCTATTTGGCCCAACAATGCTAACCCATACGTTGCGTGTGTTGTACCGCAGCCATCGCCACTGCCGCTGCCGCTGCTACAGGCTTTTGTTGCTCTCTTCCATATTGGCGTTTATTTATGTTATTCTGCAGCAGAGCTGCTCCAACGTCAGTTGCTGCATGCTCCGCTGCCTTCTTTGTTCTGTGTGGCGACCATGCGGCGTCGATGCCAGCGCGCCGAAGCAATAAAGTATCCACTGGATACCGAAAAATCTACTCCGAGAAGATTGGCGAAATTTATTGTGGGAACTTCTTGTTTTTGAATCTTCCAACGAATACAACAACTACAGAAATTGGTGAGTGAGCAGTTGCCATCTGCTCAATTTAACCGCGCCAACTGCGAGTAGTAAACTTTGTTGTGCTTGCTATTTTATTGTGTGTTGAGTTTGTTTCGTTTATTGCTGAAATTTATGTGAGAGTTTTTGTATCGGTTAGCTAGGGGTGTACGCGGTGCCTTGATGCGGCAGTGTTTGGCGCTCATTCGCTCGTGTCTTCATAGCTCGCACGGTGGCATACACAGCCGGATTTCACAGCGCAGACAGACGCTTCGTTCTACCGTAGTGAACAGAAGCCTTCTCTACTCCCCAGTACCCTCATTTCCAGCAATGGGCTGTTTGCTTTTCTTTGCTTGCGAGTTTGAGTTACGAGGCCTCTTGTACTCTATATGCGGGTAGCATGTGAGCGCCACCGTTTGCCACCCGAAACACCAAACGGTCGATTGTGGAGTGAGTGCAGTCGAGTGAAATAATTTGTTGGTGAAAACCAGAGAATCGACGCACATACATAATACATATGAATGTATGGAGGTATATTTTGTTGCCGCACAACAACTTGACGTTGAATTGTTGAATTATTGTGTGACCTGAGAATTTGCGAATTCTCAGTGAGTCATTTTGCTTTCTGAGTAGTAATCACATGTTGGTGTTCGAAACTGCTCGTACTTCATATCTTCGTTTACAAAATATTAATGTATCAGGCGCACAGGGTAGCCTAATGGATAAGTAAACGGAACTATAAATAATTAATAATTAAGAACGAAAATAAGTTCTAGTATAACTCTGTGAGAGAACTAGAATACTAAAATGAATGGTGTGCAAAGTAAATAGAGGCGCACAGTGGGAGAAATCACAAAAACGCTGACCATATATAGTAAAAATTAACCTAGAGATTTAAAATTTGGAACACATGCTTCTTTAGTGAATATGTATTAGTATAAGCTGTAAATATAGACAAAATCCTCCCATATAACGGTTCTTTTTAAAAACTCGAAGTGTTATATTTGAGAAGCCCTACCAAAAAAAAGGGTGACAAAACCTTCCACTTAGGCTTAAATTCAAACTAGAACTGTCGACTATGGTCCCTCAAAATACCATCCCTGCATCTAGACCAAAAGGGCACTTATAGTTATTTATTGAACAGCAAAAATTGAATTTAAGCTAATTTTTTTTCAATATTTTTTTATTGTTCAATAAATTTTAAAGCTGTTTTGGATGGACTTTTTTGTGTGATTACGAATCCGGAAGTGTTAAGTCAGTATTGCCATGTGTAAGCTTTCCACACAACACAATGAGCACTCTTATTATTTTATCGGGCTATTCAATCGTGAATTGCAATAGAACTTGGACGAATCTGGTTAGATCCTTTCTTTTTTAATTCTTTAAGTACGTTGTTTTTGCTATTATCTTCAAAGTACAGAGTAGCCCGATCTCCCGCGATCAAAACTTTTTCAACAATCAAATAAGAAAATATTCTTATATATTTTTTTTTGAGACAGCTTTTACAATTAATTTTTAGATTCCATGGCTTAGATTATTTAAGATACCGTCAGAAACGCTCTCTATCTAGCAAAAAAATAATTACACTACAATTACAGCACTAACTTTAGTAAGAATAGCAAGTTCAAACTACTTTAGTGTAGAAGATACAGGAAAAGGGTGCCTTATACTTTTCATCCACTACGATAGATCTTCCTCTTGACAAATTACCATGTTTTGCAACCGTCGGACAACTTCGATTTTTGGAATACTGGCCAGCTTTTTCTCCCACTGTGCGGCGCGTTATTTTATATATCTTAGTTTACTAGGTGTCGATCTTCTATGAAAACTCACTTTACTTAATAGGGAAAGTGGTATGGACCTTTTCAATACTATCACCTTCTATATTTCTTTAATTTTAATACTCTATATAATTCAAGATCTACCACTCCTACTGACAAATATTAGCACAGTATAAAAGAACAATATTCAATGGCGAATCAGTTCCAAGCTAACAAGATAACATATTATTTTTCTATTTGCCGAACGGGCTGGAGTAAAGTAAGTTGTATTTTACGTAATAGGGTTTTTCAGCGGAAGATACTTTTTGTNATAGACAAAATCCTCCCATATAACGGTTCTTTTTAAAAACTCGAAGTGTTATATTTGAGAAGCCCTACCAAAAAAAAGGGTGACAAAACCTTCCACTTAGGCTTAAATTAAAACTAGAACTGTCGACTATGGTCCCTCAAAATACCATCCCTGCATCTAGACCAAAAGGGCACTTATAGTTATTCATTGAACAGCAAAAATTGAATTTAAGCTAATTTTTTTTCAATATTTTTTTATTGTTCAATAAATTTTAAAGCTGTTTTGGATGGACTTTTTTGTGTGATTACGAATCCGGAAGTGTTAAGTCAGTATTGCCCTGTGTAAGCTTTCCACACAACACAATGAGCACTCTTATTATTTTATCGGGCTATTCAATCGTGAATTGCAATAGAACTTGGACGAATCTGGTTAGATCCTTTCTTTTTTAATTCTTTAAGTACGTTGTTTTTGCTATTATCTTCAAAGTACAGAGTAGCCCGATCTCCCGCGATCAAAACTTTTTCAACAATCAAATAAGAAAATATTCTTATATATTTTTTTTTGAGACAGCTTTTACAATTAATTTTTAGATTCCATGGCTTAGATTATTTAAGATACCGTCAGAAACGCTCTCTATCTCGCAAAAAAATAATTACACTACAATTACAGCACTAACTTTAGTAAGAATAGCAAGTTCAAACTACTTTAGTGTAAAAGATACAGGAAAAGGGTGCCTTATACTTTTCATCCACTACGATAGATCTTCCTCTTGACAAATTACCATGTTTTGCAACCGTCGGACAACTTCGATTTTTGGAATACTGGCCAGCTTTTTCTCCCACTGTGCGGCGCGTTATTTTATATATCTTAGTTTACTAGGTGTCGATCTTCTATGAAAACTCACTTTACTTAATAGGGAAAGTGGTANTCCCGCGATCAAAACTTTTTCAACAATCAAATAAGAAAATATTCTTATATATTTTTTTTTTTGAGACAGCTTTTACAATTAATTTTTAGATTCCATGGCTTAGATTATTTAAGATACCGTCAGAAACGCTCTCTATCTAGCAAAAAAATAATTACACTACAATTACAGCACTAACTTTAGTAAGAATAGCAAGTTCAAACTACTTTAGTGTAGNTCTTCAAAGTACAGAGTAGCCCGATCTCCCGCGATCAAAACTTTTTCAACAATCAAATAAGAAAATATTCTTATATATTTTTTTTTGAGACAGCTTTTACAATTAATTTTTAGATTCCATGGCTTAGATTATTTAAGATACCGTCAGAAACGCTCTCTATCTCGCAAAAAAATAATTACACTACAATTACAGCACTAACTTTAGTAAGAATAGCAAGTTCAAACTACTTTAGTGTAAAAGATACAGGAAAAGGGTGCCTTATACTTTTCATCCACTACGATAGATCTTCCTCTTGACAAATTACCATGTTTTGCAACCGTCGGACAACTTCGATTTTTGGAATACTGGCCAGCTTTTTCTCCCACTGTGCGGCGCGTTATTTTATATATCTTAGTTTACTAGGTGTCGATCTTCTATGAAAACTCACTTTACTTAATAGGGAAAGTGGTGTGGACCTTTTCAATACTATCACCTTCTATATTTCTTTAATTTTAATACTCTATATAATTCAAGATCTACCACTCCTACTGACAAATATTAGCACAGTATAAAAGAACAATATTCAATGGCGAATCAGTTCCAAGCTAACAAGATAACATATTATTTTTCTATTTGCCGAACGGGCTGGAGTAAAGTAAGNATGAAAACTCACTTTACTTAATAGGGAAAGTGGTGTGGACCTTTTCAATACTATCACCTTCTATATTTCTTTAATTTTAATACTCTATATAATTCAAGATCTACCACTCCTACTGACAAATATTAGCACAGTATAAAAGAACAATATTCAATGGCGAATCAGTTCCAAGCTAACAAGATAACATTTTATTTTTTTATTTGCTGAACGGGCTGGAGTAAAGTAAGTTGTATTTTACGTAATAGGGTTTTTCAGCGGAAGATACTTTTTGTCGCTGCGGCAACTCTTCACTGTGCCTCCGTAAATATATGTGTATATGTATGTAAATACTACGAAGCTATAAATACACTTGCAGAAAGTGAATTGCGCTCTCCGTTTCTGTCTAAAGATATCCAACGGGAAGAAGTTACATACATAATTCTCCTTTCTCATTTCGTTGAGAATACTGTAGAATTTCTATAACTAAACAAGTCAAGTGTGCTATTGAGCTAAGTTATAACTGTATATAGTTGCACTTTGGAGTTGGTTGTCTGCTGCCTCGTTTGCTGCAGTCTTCTTTACTTACTACAGTACAAGCAATTCTAAATTGAACAGCCATCTGCTGAAACACCGACGGTAGATACACTGCCATTGCTGAACTTATTGTGGATAGGTACATTAAAACATTTATAAACGATAAGACTTATCTAATGATGTTTTAATAGACCGTTATTAGTACTTCTTTAAAATGCATAAACAGTTTATGAAGGATACAATTTTTTCAAAATAACAAGATATTAAGTTATATACCAAATCGATTTATTTTGCAGTTTGCTGATGTGTAGTTTGTTTTTTCGCATTTTGCTTAGGCTATAATGTGCAATATATGATAAGAGCAAATGCATGACAAAGGTTCACGATTATTATCAGCGGTGTTAAATGACACTGCCCTCAATATTCACATTTAAAATATTGTTTGGCAAAGCGCTAATTTTGTTAAATAAACCTTGCCGCTGTCGGACTGAGCATTTACCTGTAGATATTCTTTGGAAAATCTTTATATCTATATAGTGGAATCTGCATCAATGTTTCCCGCCATGCTGCATTTTAATGTATGACTCGTCGATTTTTTATGTTACACTTTGTTTTTGTTTTATATATGCTCAGATGTGTTAACATCTACAAAATCNATAGTTGCACTTTGGAGTTGGTTGTCTGCTGCCTCGTTTGCTGCAGTCTTCTTTACTTACTACAGTATAAGCAATTCTAAATTGAACAGCCATCTGCTGAAACACCGACGGTAGACACACTGCCATTGCTGAACTTATTGTGGATAGGTACATTAAAACATTTATAAACGATAAGACTTATCTAATGATGTTTTAATAGACCGTTATTAGTACTTCTTTAAAATGCATAAACAGTTTATGAAGGATACAATTTTTTCAAAATAACAAGATATTAAGTTATATACCAAATCGATTTATTTTGCAGTTTGCTGATGTGTAGTTTGTTTTTTCGCATTTTGCTTAGGCTATAATGTGCAATATATGATAAGAGCAAATGCATGACAAAGGTTCACGATTATTATCAGCGGTGTTAAATGACACTGCCCTCAATATTCACATTTAAAATATTGTTTGGCAAAGCGCTAATTTTGTTAAATAAACCTTGCCGCTGTCGGACTGAGCATTTACCTGTAGATATTCTTTGGAAAATCTTTATATCTATATAGTGGAATCTGCATCAATGTTTCCCGCCATGCTGCATTTTAATGTACAATGACTCGTCGATTTTTTATGTTACACTTTGTTTTTGTTTTATATATGCTCAGATGTGTTAACATCTACAAAATTCCCCTTCTTTAAATTATAAGAATAGGTAACTTTAAAATTAAA